GTTTCCTTTATTTCTTTCTCTCTGTGTTTGTCATTTCTATATGACACTGGTTTTTGTGTATTAGTTTTAATCCTGCTAGTATGCTGAATATATTAGCTTTAGGGTCTTTCACATATATAATTATATTATCTGCAAATAAAGGTACATTGATTTCTTCCTTTTCTACTTATATCTCCTTTACTGCTTTTCATTTGTCTTAGTTCTCTAGTTAAGTAATATGCTGAACAAGAATGGGGATAGTGGATATCCTTTTTTTGTTTCTGATTTTTGTTTTTTGGTTTTTTTGAGACAGGGTTTCTCTGTGTAGTCTTAGCTGTCTTGGAACTCACTCTGTAGACCAGGCTGGCCTCAAACTCACAGAGATCCTCCTGCCTCTGTCTCTTGAGTGCTGGGATTAAAGGCTTGCACCACTACTGCCCTGCTTTGTTCCTGACTTTTTATGAAATACCTTGAGTTTTTCTCCATTTAGGATGATGTTGGTATGGGCTTCCTGTGTTGTTTTGAGATATGTCTCCTCTGTTTTTTCCAGGACTTTTATCATGAATCAGTGGTGGATTCTGCCAAAGTTTTTTTCTGAATGAAATGAGATGATATTGTGATTTTTTTTCCATTTAGTTGATTTATGTGGTAGATTTTGTTTATTGATTTATGTATGTTGAACCTTTTCTTCATCTCTGGGGTGAAGTCTACTTGATCATTGTAGATAATCTTTTCTTATGTTCTTTAATTTGGTTTTTAAATATTTTATTGAGAATTTTTGCTTCTATGTTCATTAGTGATTTTAATCTATAATTTTTTCAATTGAGCCTTTGTCTTATTTTAATATTATGGTAATTCTGACTTCATTAAAGGATTTGGAAATATTTCCTCATTTTCTATTTTATTGAATACTTTTATAAGTTTTGGTATTAGTTCCTTAAAGTTATATAGATTTTTTCAGTGGGCCCATCTGACTCTGGGCTTTGTTTAGTTAGGATATTTTTAATTACTGCTTCTGTTTCATAAATTTATCTCTTTCTTTTAGACTTTCAAGTTTGGTGGAATATAAACATTTTAAAATTATGTTCATATGCTTCTCTGAATTTTCTTGGAGTTTGTTAAGATGTCTTCCTTTTAATATCCAATTTTGTTAATTTGCCTCTGTTCTTTTGGTTAATTTGGCTAAATATTTGTCAGTCTTGTTACTGATTCCAGAGAACTAACATCTTATTTCATTGATCTTTTGTATTTTTTTCATTTTTGGTTCATCAATTTCAGCCCTGACTGTTACTATCTCTTTCCATCTACTTTTTAAGGGTGTTGCTTGTTCTTGTTTTGCTATGGCCTTCAGATATATCACGAAGTTATTCATTTGAGATCTCACAAAGCTTTTAATGCAGAAACACAGTGCTACAAACTTGCCTCTTATGACTGCTTTAATTGTGTTTTTATTTTCATTCAATTCTAGAAAAAAAAGCTAGTAACTTTCTTGCTTCCCCCGAGTTTGGCTCAGTATTGTGTGTTTAACTTCCATGAATTAGTGTGCTTTCTGTCTTGTCTGGTGTTCACATGGAACAGAGCATGTGATTTTGATTTTGCTTCATTTGTTGAGATTTACTTTGTGTCTTTTAATTTAATGGGAACTCTCATGGGCTGCTAAGAAAAATGTGTGTTCTTTAGTGTTTGGGTAGAATGTTCTATGTATATGTATTAGATCCATTTAAATTTTTTATGTCATTTAACTCCAGAGTCTTTTTATTTAGTCTATTTAGTCCTTTTTCAGATAACCTACCTATTGGTTAAAATTTGACCTTGAAACTACCATCTGTCACTATTTTGGGGTTTATCTGTTGTGTTAAGTCTAGTAGTGTTTCTTTTATGAAACTTAGCTGTTATTTTTGGTGCATATATGTTTAGGATTGTTATAGTCTCTTCTTGGACTTTTTTTTAGCCAATGAAAGGATAAAGTGTTTCTCTCATCTGTTTTGGTTCGAAGTCTGTTTTGTCAAATATTAGAACACTATACCTGCTTATTTCTTAGTTCATTTGCTTGTAATACCTTTTTCCATCCTTTTATCCTGTAGTGGTATATCATTGGTCATGAGGGTTGTATCTTGAAGGCAGCAATAAGACAGATCTTGTTTTCTGATTCTTGTCTGTTAGTTTATGTGTCTTCATTGGGAAATTGAACATAAAAATGAAGCTATTATTGAAAAATGTGTATTAATTTCTGTCATTTTGTTGCTGTTGTGATCTTCGATTAGATCTGTTTCAGTGTTCTGAAATTGGTTACTTGTTCCTTGTGCCTTATTGAGTGCATTTAACCTTCTCTTCAGAGTTAAGTATTTCTTGAAGTATCTTCTGTAGAGCTGGCTTAGTGGTTCTAATTTCCTTAAATATCATTTTGTTTTGAAACATTTTCCTGTCTCCTTCAATTATGACTTACATCTTTGTTGGATATAGTGGTCTAGGTTGATATCTTTGGCCTTTCATAAGTCATAGAACATTGGTCCCAAGCCCTTCTTGATTTCATGGTCTCCAGTGCAAAATCTACTGTAATTTTGATGGACCTGCTCTGTATGTGAGTTATCTTTTTTTCTTGCTATTTTCAATATCCTTTCTTTGCTATGTATATTTAATGTTTTGATTATTATGTGCTATACATAGTTTCTTTCCTACTTCCCTCTCTTTGTTATTCTCTATGCCTCTTGGAACTTGATAGACATCTCCTTTCATAAATTATGGAAGTTATTTTGTGTTGCTCTGTTGAAAGTATTTTCCATGCCTTTGGCCTGGGTCTCATCTTTTTATGCCTGTTATTCATATGTTTGGTCTTTCTATAATGTTCTAGAGGTGCACATGTCTCTCCTACCCTCGGATTTGACATTTTCTTTGACTATGTGAACAAATTCTTCTACCTTGTCTTAAAGACTTGACATTCTCTTTTCCACTTGACCCTGTCAATTGGTAAGGCTTTCCTCTGATTTTTTTGTTTGAATTCTTAAATTTTTCACTTGAATTCCCCCAGAATTTCTATCTCCTTATTAAATTCTATTTTCATATCTTCAATTGTTTTCATCATTTCATTTAACTGTTGTGTTTTTCTGGTGTTCATTATGACATTTACCCATATTCTCTTTGAGTTCTTTGATGATGTTTATTATTTCTATTTTGACATCATTGCCGTGTACATTATCTAAGTCACTTTTCTTAGGGACATTACTATGGAAGAACTAATTTTTGATAGACTTATTGGTTTGTGTATTTAGGTTTATATATTTGCCACAGGACCTAGACCTCTGGAATTAGGTTGTTAGTAGTATTTCTTGGTATGGAAATCTCATTTCTATATTGTTGAATGAGTGTTTAAAGCTCTGTTTCCTATTACTCCAACTTGTCAGGTGGCTAGCTATTTGTATGGGGCTTAAGATTGAGTCTTTGGGCAATTCAGTTTAACTGTTGAAATGGGATATCAGAAATAGTCCTGGCTCTGCTTAAGTTAAGTGAAATTTATCAGCTCAGAAGCAATCCCTCTGTAGAGTCAGAGGATTTTTACATTTAACCTCCAGGAGCTTGGTCGAGATGCTTTGGACTTTTTCTCAGTCTACAGGTACTATTGCTATTGCTGGTGTGGGTCTAGTATCTCTCTCTGGAGATGGGGGGTGTCCTCAGGTGGTATGGATGGCTATTATTGGTAACATAAGTTTAGTGTCTGTCTACAGAAGGTGCCAAGTGTGTGAATGTGATGGATGGAGTTGGTAGGGGGTGGATGGGTAGGGTAGTGGCAGAACTTTTGGCTGTATGCCTTGGGATGAGGAGAACAAGGGTGCTTTCAGGGGTGGATGGAGTTACCAGTATGCCTTGGGTTTCCCTAGTTGATGTGGGTGTGGGGAAGGAGGAGAAGGAAAACAGGCACAGCAGAAATGTTTCTTAGGCAGGTGTAAGTGGGGGATAGAGTTGCTGGTGTGGGTCTGAAGAGAGGCAATCCCTAGGTGGAGGGAGTGTGTTGTTGGTGGCACCAACCTTGTGTCTTTGCAGAGAAGAGACCAGATATGCCTAGTGGGGATGAGTAGTTTGGCCAGGGTGGTTAGAGTTGAGTTAGGAGTGGGTGTATGGGCTCCCTGGTCGAGATGCAGGCAAATATGTGGGGCAGGGGTGAATGGCATTGGTGGCTGCTTACATTGGGCCTCCATACCTGAAGAAGATGTGCCCAAAGTAGTGGAGGAATAATTTTTTGAAGTTTGATTAAGGTCTTAGCACTAGTTATAGTAAAATTTTAATGATTAAACTGCTTTTCAACATTAAAATATTTGTACTCATTTTTAGGGATTATATGTCTTTGGTTGTCGCTAAGGTTCATCACATGGTATTACTATTTTTAGCTTTTTATAAATTTCTGCAGAAGTACATGTAAATATTAATCAGCTTGCTTTGTCCTTTTTAAATATAGTTTTAAAATTATTTTTTTAAAGTCATTATACAAAGTGATGGGTTTCATTATGATATTTTCACACATATGTGTCATTATGAATCTTTTTAAAAGGCATATGCCATTAGGATATTTGCCAGCTATTAGCATGATTATAAGGAAACTAAACCAGATTTTTTTTGCCTTCTTCTTTTCCTCTTCCTTCTGCTGTTTCTGTTATAAAACAGCATTTCATCCAACAGGAAAAAAATAATATTTCAATTCTTTTCTGGCAGATTAACATACATTTACATTCAAATCCAGCAATTCATTTATTACTTTTTTCTTTAAATAAAGATTTCTTATTTCATTTAACTTGGTTTATGTTGGCCTGTACAAGAAATACAGTGGTAAATATACATTTATTATAAATACATTTCTATCAGTTGATATCCTCAATAATAATATTTAGATTTATTCATGTGTATGTGTCTGCTCATGTGTAGATATGAATGCTTCAAATATCATTCTTTTGGTTAGCCACAGTATGTCTGAAAAATATAAGATGGTTCAATATTTAATTTCTGTTTTTCCCATTCAACCCTCAAATCAGAATGGAGAGCCTGTTCGTCCAGGAGTGGCCATGACTGACCTTGCCACTGGCCTGTTTGCCTATGGAGCCATTATGGCTGGCCTCATACGACGTTACAGAACTGGAAAAGGACTGTTCATTGATTGTAATCTACTCTCATCTCAGGTACCAACCCAAATATCATTTTAATTTGATATAACAATGTATTTGGGTTATACTTTTTTAGATAGAATCCTAAGGTCACATGCCATTAAAATTAAAAAAAAAAACAACCCCTCATAAACTACTTTGGTTTGATATTTGCTTTCATAGAAAATCATTCAAATATGAAATCATCTAAAAAATTGTGATGATTTTGTTACAATTTAAATGTGTTGTTGAATTAGAATTCCCAGGTCATTCAGTAGGAGAACTTCCCTTGTGAGACCACAGTACAGTTGCCTCTATTTCACTGTCTTATGAGCTCTGTAACATCCTTTGATGCCATTTCTTCACCTTTTATGTGCCATGGACTCTTGTGTAAGTCTGGCAAAATATATGGACCTTATCTTGGGATCATGGTTTTTAAGTTCACAAGATGAGGTAATTGGATTACAAAAGAACTAAGTTATATGGAAATATTTATCTAAATGTAAAAATCATTGTTGTGTTATCACAATATATGGCTTTTACTAACATATTAAAATTTATGGAAATTGACTCTGCTAGGTAAGTGCTCTGCTCCTATGCTATAGTCCCAGCCCTTTTTTTGTTCTCTATTTTGAGATGGTCTCACTAAGTTGATTGGCTTTGACCTCAAAACATAGCCCAGGGAGACTTTGAACTGGACCTCTTTCTACCTTAGCCTCTGGTGATATAATAGTGATTGCAACGCCATTAAAATTTTGATGTAATGTTAAGAAGAAATGATATTTCAAGAAATATGCAATAGATAATATGATATGGAGTGAAAATGATATGAGAGGATATAAAAATTATCAGTGATCAAGTCATAGATATTGCTAATCCTCTGGTGGTTTCATTGCTTGGCTTCATAATTGTTTAGGTCAGAGGTTGATGAAAATAAAGATATCCTTTTGTACACCCATGCTATTTAACTCCTAGAACTCTGCCCATAGACTAACCTCCCTGGTTTAGACAGTTACAGCTACACCGTAGCAAGCACAGGACTGGTGAAACGGAGGGGTTAATTCACTTTTAACATGACATTCTGCCTCCTTTACTGGATCAGACCCAGATGCTGTACCATATGTGGAAGTTGATTCTGAATAGATAATTTTTCAGGGATAGGAAAAAGAAAATATCTAATTTGTGCAAGGGAGACATTTTACTGTGGGAAAATTACTTTCTAGACATAGAGATCTCAGTTGGGAATTTCAGATTTAAGTGGCATACATGGGAAAATAGTAAACTTGGAACACTACATTGGAGATTTTTTTCTCTCAGGCAAAATTAAGGAGGTGTATAGAAAAAAAAGTTGATATGGTTGATGGTAAAATAATGTGTATGAGTTTTTAACAGCAATGTTGAATCAGTGTCAGAATTTTAATGGTTTTGTAAAAGGACAAAAGAACTCTCTTCAAATGAGTTATTTTGCTTCTTCACAGAAAGCCATAGATGGTAGTTATGGGAAGGAACTAAAAGTCTTTTCTTTGTCTGTGTTAATAGCTGTAATGATCCTGAGGTAAGTTAAGTAACCAAATAAAACTTATATATCCAATAAATGTGGAAGACATGAAAGTTTTATAGGTGAGGGACATGTGTAATCTTACAGGGCTCTAGGCTTTGTAGGTCCTACTGTCTGTGTCTTGAAATGCTTAACATTTCTGAATAGAAGATTTTTTTTCATTTCCATTTTTCACCAAGCTTCCCAAATAATGTATAGATAGTCATATTTTTTGTCTGTATTAACTTCTTTACTTTATACTCAATTATGAATGAATACATTAACTTTGGAAGCAATTATCTATTATGGTATAGTAGAAGTTAAAAAAATCTTCTAGCACTGAATTGGTGAGTCCTATGTGGAAAATATTCTCACCTGCAAGACTGCTTCACAATGAGTAAATTCATGTCTACATACACACAGATATTTATTAAAGTCATTTGTGTGTGTGTGTGTGTGTGTGTGTGTGTGTGTGTGTGTGTCTGTGTCTGTGTGTATTCAGGCATGGTTGATTCATGTTGATTCTTGAGACTGTAAACTCCAATAGTGTAAGGAAAATATCTTTTTGTTCTTTTCACATCATCTTTAATGCTCAGCTCAATATTCGTCAAATATCAAGTTATCATTGGTATTATACTTTGAATGAGAAATTCATAGGCTCATATGTTTGAAAATTTAGTTCCAAGCTGATGGTACTGTTTGGGAAGGGTATGGAACCCCTGGGAGTTAGTAACTTGTCAGAGGAAGTGTGTCTTTTGGGGCTAGTGGAGGTTTTATAGCCTGGCCCCATTTCCTTTTTTCTGTCTTTTTCCTTATTGCTAACACAGTGTGATGTGCTAGACTCTGCTCCTGCTACCATACCTTCCCTTCCTGCTGACATACCTCCTTTGCCATGATGGAATAATCCCCTGAAACTGTTAGCCAGAATAAACATACTTCTTCCTTTAAATAGTGTCTTCTCAGGTATTTTGTCATGGCAATGAGAAAAGCAATCAGCACAGAAAATTGGTACTGAGAAGTGGGGCTTTTATTTTCATAAATTTAATCATGTAGTTCTTAGGCTTTAGAACTGTTTTACAGGAGTGTCTTAGTTTGGGTTTCTGTTGCTGTGAAGAGACACCATGATCATAACAACTCTTACAAAGGAAGCATTTAATTGGGGTGGCTTGCTTACACTTTAGAGATTCAGTACATTATCATCATGGTGGGAAACATGGCTGCTTGCAGGCAGACATGGTGCTGGAGAAGTAACTGAGAGTCCTACATCTTTCAGGCAATGAAAATCCATGGAAGCACTGGGAGGTATCCTGAGCATAAGAAATCTCCAAGTCCACCCCAACAGTGACACACTTCCTCCAACAAGGCCATACCCACTCCAACAAAGCCATACCTCCTAATAGTGCCACTTACTATGAGATTATAGGGGCCAATTACATTCAGACTACCACAGGAATGTGGAAGATCTGGAACTTTGGGCTAGAAAATCCACAGAATGCTGTTAGAAAAGCTTAATGGGCTATTCTGGTGGGAGTTCAGAAGACCGAATGATAAGTGGTGTGCAGACAGTGGAGGCCTGGGCTAAGTGAGGTTTCAGAGGGAAACAGAGACTGTCTAGAACTGGGCTCCCTATAATTACATTGGAGCAAAGAAAGTTGGCAGTATTCTGCTCATGGGGTGAGAGCTTGTGTGAGGCTGAATTAAAAAACAATAGATTAATTTCATTGGTAGAAGAAATTTCAAGGTAGCATAGCATTCAGTCTGTGACATGGCTACTTCTCACTGTTCTTATTCACATTGACAGTGAGAGCAAAAGGATGAAATACATGAAGTTTAGCAAGGAATGTTGTGTGAGCAAGTTTAAAATTGTGGACAAGGAGCAGAACATTCAGAGGACAAAGCATTTATAATTGTTCAAGAATAACCTTACTGTCTTTAATAGGAAAAGTGCCCTGAAGGCATGACCTCACCCATCAAAGGCCCAACTTGTAAAAATGAAAATTTATTTGAAAGTAGAAAGCAGCCTGACTGAGCACACCACAGAATGGGTTTTTTGCTGGAAACAATTGCCTAGGAAAGTGATATTGCAGATTCATCATCTACAAAGGCATACCCAGGAAATTACAGCTGTGGTTCAAAACAGCCAGGCTACATCTTGGTCTGGCAGCAGATCTTGACAATGTAGTCTAACTTTTACTGATATTGCTAGCATGAAAAATGCAAGACTGAGGAATCATGGACCCTTACTCCAAAGTTCCAGGGAGCTGCTGAGCCCAGGCAGTGTGTAGCCATGTTAGAGCTTCTGTAAAGTGGGCCTGAAAGGCTATTGCATGAAGCTGGGATTTAATCAGTCTCAGTTGAAGTGGAGGCCCCAGAATATTGGAGATGCCAGGACCATGGGACATCCATCAAGGAAAGAGCCAAACATGGAATGGAGCCTGTGTAAGAGAGAGAGTATGTATGTTATACATAACAGAGGAACCAGGCCAGCCAAACCCTCTGGAGAACAGAAGCATCCATCATGAGTCCAGGATGCCTGGTTTGGTGCTTTAGGATTGAGTGGTTGCCCTGAAGGGGTTTGGTCTTCCTTTGGTCCAATTTTTTTCCTTGGTATGTTTCCATTCCTCCCTTTTGCAGTGAATGTCTATTTTGTGCCATTATATGGAAGTATGTAACTTGTTTAAGTATGTAACTTGACCCATAGTTAAGAGATTGTGTTTCAAAAGAGAATTTGGACTTTAGAACAGTGCTGGGACTGTTAGTGTCTATGGGAAATTTTGAAGTTGATTTAATACATTTTGCACTGTTGAGTTGACCATTAACATAGTATGGGCTCAGAGTCCAAATGTGGTTTGAGTACAGAATGTCCCTCCTAGACTTAGGCATTTGAATGCTTGGTTTCTGAGCTGGTGGCTCTGTTTGGGGTGCTTATGGAGCCTTTAGAAGATAGAATCCTACCAGAGGAAGTGGGTCCCTAAGGCAGACCTTGAGGTTTTATAGCCAGACCCCTCTTCTTTTTCTCTGTTTCATGATTGATAAGGCAATCTGAGCTTACAGACTCCTGCTCCTGCTCCTGATGCTTTCCCTGTAAAGAGAAGCTTCTTTGGTGAGGCATTATGGCCACACTTACTTATAGGTGTAAGGCGTATAAGGTTAAGATTTAGAATGTGTAAGACAAATTGCTAAATGGTCTTATTAATAAAAAACCCAGAGCCAGATATTTGGGTAAAAATAGAGATCAGAAAAGTAGAAAGAAGCCAGCCATGTTCTTACCACTTGGAAATCCTCAGCCAAAGAGAGCTACTTCTTGTATACCCTATATGCCTTTATGTTCTTCATCTCACTTCCTTTCTCCACCCAGCTACATCACTTCCTGTCTTTCTGTACAGACCTCCAGACCTCTATGGTTAGTGCTGGCATTAAATGCATGTGCCACCATGCCTGTCTCTGTTCTCAGTGTGGCCTTGAACTCACAGAGATCCGGATGGTTCTCTGCCTCTTG